AAAAAAAAAAAAAAAAAAAAAAACCAGTGTAATAATATTATTAAATATATATATTATATCAATAATTATACTTTCTTTATACTGTACTAAATGTCCTGCCAGAATGTCGTGTAAATAATGATAAAAACAAAGAAAAAAGAAAAAGATAAAAAAGAGAGTAAAAATGAAAATCGTACAAAGATTTTCAAGTTGTGGTAGCTTGATATAGTGAGCTGTAACCACAAATAGACATCTGTARCATGACCCAAGACCGTGTTTACCATAGATGTCGTCATGTCTGCCCAATGAGACACAAGGAAGTCAACGTTTAAGTAAACCTTTCAGACTCAGTACGTGATGCTCGTTTGAGGATGAATGAGCACAGCGACAATTCAATATTTTGAAGTGAATCATGTTCAAATACGTTGACTTTAGATGCTTGGCTATCGTCTTGACGGTCATCAGACTCTTGTCACTGGGTGCCTTTGCTGAAGAATGTCAGAAAAGTATTAAGGCAATGCCCTGGCCAAGCATTTACGAAAACGTGGAGTTCTTTCCTTTTGGTGTTGTGTTTATTGATGGTGGAAGCAACTGCGAGCTTGACTTTGGTCCTTATCTCAATCAAACGAAGAAAGACGTAATGTCGACATTTTACTTGAACATAGTGTGTGCAAAACCTACTCAAGTTAAGATCAAAAACCCATCCAACGTACAACGAAAAAACGTTATATCTTACATAATTGTAAGGAAAGCTTGCGAAATTGACTTGGAGGGGCTGGCAGTGTTCAGTAACGCTACAGACTACAGGGTTTTGGCAATGCTAGAAGGAGCATTCATGAAAACCCCAAACTCAAGCCAAGAAGTACAACAACTGCAATCCCAAATTAACAAGATTGGTACTTTGACGATACAAGGCGGAAGTAAAGGACTTCCAGAGATTTTTGTTAAATACAACTGGTCACTCATGGCAGAAATACAGTTTTTCAAACTTTCCATACAAAGCTTGCCTAAGACTTTGAAATTCTCTATGCCTCGACTTCAAGGCTTGGAACTGTCACACAACGAGCTAGTAGAACCTCCAGACTTTCCTTGGGACGATGAAGAGTTGCCTCTTCCAGGTAACTTATCCAGAAAAGCTGTTTTTAATGAACAGTACCAAGGCACGACGGAGGTCAAACCCAATTTATATAGGAGGTTTCTTACACTCGACTTCAATAAAATCCAAAACCTTTCTCGGTTTGAGTTTCGAGGACACTTACAAAGGCTTTCCATTAAAGGAAACGGACTCAAAGCCATCGGGGAAAATTGTCTGGTGCATTTAACTGGAATAAACGCTATCGATTTGAGTGTGAATAAACTTGATGCGTTACCAAAGGGCATTTTTAGAGGTCTGAAGGATTTATTTCACTTGCGGCTAAATAACAACAATATAACTGTCATCCACGTTGAGACATTCGCGGACTCGAAAAGGATGAAAAAACTATATTTGAATAATAATAATATCGAGAGAATTTCCAAGGGATTGTTGCTGCAACATGAAGATCTGGAAGAGCTGCATTTACAGAATAACTTGATCGTCAAAGTGGAACACGGAGCTTTACCAAACAAYTCCAACAAACTAAAAAATCTGAATTTGAATGGAAATCAACTACARACGATTCCAAGCGACGTTTTTCTTACTAGAAGCCTCGAGTCTGCTAATCTAGCAAATAATGTCATTACATTTGAAGGGATTATAGAGACATTACATTCAATTATTATAGAACGTTTATTGAATGTTTTAAGGAAGTCAGTTAGTGATATGTCTAGAGAGCTTAGAACTGATTCGGTATACATTGATTTGACCAACAATAATATCAAAGCTATGGATACTAATGAACTAACTAAAGAACAAATGGTCAAATTGGGGATGGTTCTCCAGGTATTCGAAATGAACTTTAAGAACAACCCTATACTGTGTGACTGCAGAGCCCTTAACATTACACGCATAATCAAAGGGATTATATCAAAGTATTCTCATATCAACGAGAGACGTTTCCAGTCTTGGGTTTGTGCAGCACCACCTCAGTTGAAGGGGAAGCGGATTGTATCAATTGCTGAAGAGAATTTCGTGTGTGTGAGGAATCTTTCCGGCTGTCCTGTGGAAGGAACGTGCTCGGTGAGGCAGACAGATGGAAGTATTATCATAGACGCTCGTGACAAGAATCTAAAACAACTTCCGCATATGTTGCCCGTTGGAACCAATCTCGAAATCTTCCTAGACAATAACCAAATAACGGAACTGAGCATGCGTGGTTACCTTGGCAACGTGAGTGTCCTTCATCTAAGTCGGAATAAAATTCAACAAATCAATGATTCGTTTATCGAAAGCTTGACAAAAGTCAGACAACTCAGCATCGACAGGAATGAGCTCAAAAGGTTACCGAGGAGTATTGAATCGTTAACGTCACGCAAGACTTTTGTTAGTCTGGCTCTACATTCGAACTATCTTGAGTGTGACTGCCGATCCAAGTGGATGAAGGGATGGTTAATGAATTCTTCGGATAAGATTAACGACATTGAGAATGTGAAGTGCGCTAGTGGGATGTCTCAGGGAAGACCGATCTATCGCGTGCCACTGAAGGACTTCATTTGCGAGGAAAAGAAAGTCGAAACAAAGTTTAACCCCCGTGGAAACAATGACTTGCTGGTTATAGTCTCAGTAACGTTGGGAGTACTTCTTGTCATAATTACCGCAGTTTTCATGATGGTTTACTTCTTCAGAGGAGAAATGAAGGTGTTCATTTACACGCACTTTGACTGGCATCCATTTGATCGTATCGACGATTCCGACCCTTCAAAGATATACGACGCGTTTATTTCTTACAGCAGCCATGACCAAGAATGGGTGCATAACGAATTGAAACAAAAACTTGAAGGTCACGAACCACCTTATAAGATTTGCTTCCATGACAGAGACTTTGAAGTCGGAGCCAGCATACAAGATAATATAATAAACAGTGTTAACAGGAGCAAGAGAATGATCATGGTATTGTCCAACAGGTTCTTAGAGAGCGAGTGGTGCAGGCTGGAATTTCGAGCAGCACATCATAAGGTGCTCCAAGACAAAACAAACTACCTTATAGTGATCCTGTTCGAAGGGATCGATACAAATGCGCTGGACGACGAGACGAGACTATATTTGCGAACCAATACGTATCTGAGTGTCACAAATAAATGGTTTTGGCAGAAGCTTTTGTATTCTTTACCGAAGCCACAGGGAACAGTGAAGGAAAACCAGAGCCTGGGTGTACAGGGCTCGAGTCGTCAGATGTCCATAGAAATAAAAGAGTATGATACCGCCAGTAGTGGGAATGAAAAGAGAAAAGAGGGAATGGAGGAAAGCAAAATGTAAAGGAACTTCAGGATTGGTCAGTTAACGATGAAAATCAAATATAAGTCAGGTCAAGGCTTACTCACAGATCAAACCCTAAACAACCTCTTGGCTGATCTAAGTCAGGGCGCGGCTAACTCACAGATAGAACCCTGAAACAACCTCTGGGCTGATCTAAGTCAGGGCACGGCTAACTCACGGATAGGACCCCTGCAAACAACCTTCGGGCTGATCTAAGTCGGGGCACGGCTAACTCACAGATAGAACCATGAAACAACCTCTGGGCTGATCTAAGTCAGGGCACTGCTAACTCACAGATAGAACCCTGAAACAACCTCTGGGCTGATCTAAGTCAGGGCACGGCTAACTTTGAGATACCCCTGCAAACAACCTTTGGGCTGATCTAAAACAGGGCACAGCTAACTTTGAGATACCCCTGCAAACAACCTTTGGGCTG